GATTCAGAGTAGAGTGCATCTGGTTTCTGTGGGAAGGGAATGTAAGAAGTAGCATTGTTAAGGTAGTAGGGATAGAATATAGGTAATTATATCTTACTATATTATAAATTTATAACAGTTATAAACAGAGAAATAAGATAAATTGTAGAAGATTGCAGCCATCAGCACTAATGCTAGGAATCTCATTCTTTTAAAAACAGAATACCTGAGAAAGCCTTAAAGTTCACGAAACATATGAATACTCTTATTTACTAGAAAGAAGGACCTTTATTTGGTTCAGCTAGTTTTCAGCTCTGTCTTTGGTTCTTCAACCCTTGGTAAAGCTGACATGGTAAAACTTGAGTGAGAATCTGTGCCCTAGAGTTTCTAAGTGTCAGTGGAAGGGAGTGTTAGTTGTAATGAGATATGCATCCTGTTTAGGAAGACTAGCTTTACTTTTCTGGACTTTTGAAAACAAAGACACTAAAAAGATACCTTTAAAAGGTTGGGAAGTTATAAAAGTCAAAAGTATGGCAGTATATACCAATGAGAGAGAAAGTTGAAAAGGTAGTTGCAAGCATCTGATAATGCAGTTCAAGATTTATGTTTAAAGAATTGTTTTTTTAATGAAGAAAAATCAATAACCAGTCATGTATTTAAAAAAAAGTTTTATGAACCTATGATCATTACCAAGAAACTTAAGAAAAAGAGAAGGCTGGGTGAAAGTGCTAAGGCAATGAAGAGGATATTTTAACTGACATTATACACTGTAAATAACAAGGAAGGAATCAACCCACGGCAGACTGTGTAATTGGTAATTGATGATCAGCAAAAAAACAACTATATACAATTTATGTTTTACTTTCATGATTTCTATTGAGAAGAATTTTCTTCAAAGTAGAAACACTTAAGACCAGGGGAAGAGGAGATTGGTAAACCAAGAAGGTGAGATTGGTAAGGCAAGAGAGTAACTAAACTGCCCTAACTAGTTAGGTTACCAAATGAAGGTAATTACATCTCATGGTAGTGGAGATCTTACAGAAGTGTGGTTAGAGAACTGGCAAAGGTAATCTGTTACAAATACTGGAGTAGAGAAAAAGTTTTAGGATTTGGGGGATGGATGAACTATCAAACTTTTCAAAAAGACAGACTTCCCTAGCCTCAGTTTTCTTCATCTTTGCAATGGCAGTAGTAATTCCTTCTACTGCAGTTTGGTTCAGAAAGAAGACTCGGAGATAGTTTGGTGTTCAGGAGTTTGTTAGCAATCAACACCTGTGGAAAGAAAGTTTAGGAAGCAGAATTGGACATACAGAAAAAAGTGAAGTGTTGCAGACCTGACTCCCTCAGGTGACTCAACAGGCAGCTTTAGAGCTTGTATGGCCTGTGAAAGTTAAACCACATGGGGCCCAAATCCCTGGACTTTTAACTTTTGCTTTTGATTTCTAATTGGATGGTGGTGCTCCTAGAAGTATGTGACCATGTGTAGGCAGCTTTCTGCAACTGAAGCAGTCCCTGAGACTGATGAGGAATCTGAGCAGTATATCTCCATGTGCAAATTTTAGGACTAACGTATGTGAAGTACTTAACACAAATCTTGAGACGTAAGTAGAGCCTCAATATAGTAGCTTTTATTATTGTTATTTTTATTCTGTCCTATTGAGAAATTTAATTATTTTGAGAGAAGAGAGAATGCTTGCTCATAACATTTATAAATGTCCAAAAGCTGGCAGGGATATTTACTCTGTTAGAAAAACAGAATGATTACTTGTATCATAAATATGTACAAATATCTTATATATCTGTAAAAAAGTTAAAAACGATGAAGTTTCAGAGCACTTAATCTCCAAATAGGTGAATTAATGAGCAGAAGTTCATGAAGTGAAACTTAACTGAGGTAAAGATTACAAGATTGCTCTTCTTAGATTATTAGTGGAAGGAATAAAAGAGAGAGGGACAAGAGTCAGCTGAGACTACAGAAATATATATGTAGCAGTATTTATTAGGGCATTAGTTAAAATAGCTCATGTAAGAAATAACCTAAATGTCCAACACAGGTTAAATAAATTATGGTGAATCTGTATAGTGGACTAATCCAGTCATCACAACTGATTTGGAAGAATATTAAATGTTACAGGAATGTCCCTGATAGAAGAGTTTTATCTAAGTGTGTGTGTGTGTGTGTGTGTGTGTGTGTGTGTGTGTGTGTGTGTGTAGAGAAAAGTCTGGGGATTGACTTTTAAATGGAGGTATTGGGTTATAAGTGACTTAGTTTCCTTTGTTCTCATATCTCTGCAACAAACATATTTAATGTAATAAAATTATTTTTTTCCACATTTTTAAGTACCTATACATGCAGGACTGACAAGACCTGATTTAAGAGCAAAAAGACCAAAACGTTTCAGATATATATTAATTCCTGTTTGACTTATAATTAATATGGCTGTTCCCAAAGTGAAGTTTTACTCTTTATTAACAAATATATAGTGAACAAATGAAGGCTGTAGTTCATTTATGCCCAATTGTAGGTACTGCACCTTTGGGTAAACTTGAGTTGTTCAAATGAACTTTTCAAAAAGACAGACTTACCCAGTTGTCAGTTCAATTTAATTTTGTTGAGCAAATTTAAACAAATCGTTCAAATGAACAACATCACACATTTTATAAGTGACTGGTCATTTCTTTTTGGGAGGAGACATGGAGGGTGGGAGAGCATCGACATCTATTGTGAAATATTTAAAGTGGTGTCATGTGAAAGAGAAATTAGATTTATTTTAAAGAAAAGATTAGATCTAGGTTTAATGGAAGAAATGGGAGAAGAATACAGGAAAGCAAATTTTAGTTAAGGCATTTCTTTTCATTAGTCCTGTGCTCCCCTACTCGCCAAAGAATGGCCTAGCTTTGGTAGAAGTAAAATTATTCCAGTACTAAAAATATTACAATTAACAGAATTTTTAAGACTTTTGTACAGAACCCTAGGTTCCTATATATATCTTAGAAGTTCTGTGACTATTTAGAAGCTATCTCAAAAATTAAATATGAATAATTGAGCTATAATTTGAAAATAACATGTTCACTCACATGTTTCAAAAACAAGTTTTAACATTTTGGAAATCATTAACGTGTTCATGAAGTGCTGCTCAGTTAACTTGTTTTGGTACAGACCTCTGAATCAAATTTCTTCTTGCCTGCTTGGTTTTTCTGAGTGTAGGCCACTTATTTACCACTTATATCTGTGTAAATCAGGATTTTTAACAATAATCTGTAACCAAAACAAAATACAAAAATTAATTGGAAACTGAGACTATAATTATCATCTCTGTCCTTTGATTTCAAATTTTTATATTCATCAAAATAGGTTGCTTGTTTTCAGTGATTGATTTATTCTAACATGCTGTTTTTATCTGTTTTATCTGTGGGAATCTCACCGGAAACTGTAAAAGGTATTCTCCTGCTTAAAATTGTTTGAATAAGTCTAGTATAGACAAAGGTCAATCCTCTCTGTAGAACATATTTTGAATCTGCTTACTCTTCTTTATTTCTCTTGCCTTTGTCCAAGCCACCATCATTTCTCATTCAGATAACCTCACAGACTTTCTAATCGGCCTCCCAGTTGTCAGTTCTTTAATTGAGCAGCTAAGGTGATCTTAAAAAATGTAAATCAAATGATATCATGTCGTAGCTTAGAACCTTTATCTCTCCTCTTCAGTATGATTTTATACTCTTTCATTCTTTTCTAACACATAAACTTAACAAAGCTGTTTGCTGTCTCAGGACCTTCCACATCTTCTACCTGGGATGCTCTTAACCCCATTCTTCACCTTAGTAACTTTCATCTTTTATGTGTAAGCTTATAGATTACCTCTTTAGTGTAGAGGGTGGAAAATATAGTCACTTTAAGCATTCTGGGTTAGAAATAGGCACATAGACTGACCCTTAACACTTGTCAGGACATCCAACACATTCAGAATTGGAGCAGGGAAGGGAATACTGTTTCATTTAGTACAGCATCCTGTGGCATAGGAAGTCAATATTTTTGAAGAAACAGAAAGAAGCTTCTGTTTCAAAGCTTGAAGGAAAGTGGGGAGGGGATTTGTTATGAGACCAAAGATTCTTCTCTCCACTGAACACCTAGTACAAGTAATATACTTAGTAGATTTTGATTACTTATGAATAGTCCACAAAATTAATAAAAGTAGGCTGAAAAAGGTTAAATTACTTGACCAAGATCCCACTGCTATTAAATGTCAGCACTAAACTAATTGTATTAAATCCTACAACTCTACAGTAATAATCTGGCATTAATGAAGGAAAGAAGATACTATTAGTACAGAAGCTATAATCACAGAGAGAGCCATTTCTTCATCTTGCAGAATTGGTTTCTCACAACACTTACACCCCATTGCAGCTTTCTAGTAAAAGCCAGATGAAAAAATCAGTTACTTCTTTGCTGAGGTAAAGGTGTGCCCCTGCATTTTCTTGAAAAAATCTTGATGTGCTGGAAATAAAACTACAAACAGTGTAGTGGATTGTATTATTTTTATTTTTTTCTCATTAACTTGCTCACTCAGTTAAGATTGTGTGCACCTTTAAATACCGGAAAATTCTAGCAATAGCTTAAACAAATGAGGGAAGGGTGATTTTCTCACACAAGAAGTCTAGAAATAGGCAGTCCAGAACTGGTTCATCTGCTTCCCCATTTTTAGAAGGTTGGCTTTTGCCTTCCTGTTTCGTATTCATGATCATAAGATGGTTATTATTTCTCCAAGCACTAGCTGTAAGGGACAAGGTTTAAAAGCATAAAGCGATATATGTGCTTTCTTTGCTAGGTGGGGTCTCTGAGAAACTTTTTACAGTAATCAGACTTCTTGTGTCTTAGTGGCCAGAGCTGTATCACATGACCTCTTGCAGCTAGAAAATGACAAGGAAGACAATGCATAATGTCATGTTTCCTTCATTTAACATCTTTTAGTATGATAGTCCAGGTACCTAAAATTATTATAATAATGCATTGTACCTTTTAGATTTACATTGGTGCAAAAGCATACAGTGGAATTTAACCAAGTGGCAATGGCTAATTCAGATGGATCCGAAGCTATGCTGAACAGAGTGATGACAAAAGATAACATTGGTGTTGCTGTGGTATTAGAGGTCCACAAAGAACTATTTGGAGCAGGTGAGTGCAATGTAAAGTATTCTTACTAAGAATAAATACCATCCCAAGTTTTTGCATCTCAAAACAAGTGAAGATAATTTTACTGTGATTTATTGCAATGTTATCTTCTTTTGAGGAAATCTAAGGGAGATGGGCAGGAAAAGAACATCAGCTGTGTAAAGCATCATATATTTCTTGGGATATTCTGTGCTCTATCACAGTCTTTTTTACTTACCACATAATCTGTAAAGTCTTTTTTAATATGCCATTAATCCCAGAAGGTTCTTTGAAACAGGGAATGTTTTGGTAAGGCTTAATTTAGAAATTATGACGACTTGGTCCTCTTTTTGAACTGTATTTTTAGCTTCTTGAGTTTGAATCTTTTGTCTTTAAGGTTAAGGAATTGGCATATTTTCTCTAGTTTCTTTGTTATATCTCAGTCATTGTCAGGGTAAGAGCAGGATCTTTTATCTACATGGTACTTTAGCATTTTAGATTATTTATAGTTTCCTTCAGAGTCAGAAAGTCATTAGGTACTTTATATTATACAGACCTTTTTAATCCCTCCTACTGCCTGCCTTGGAGCATTTCATTGTTGACTAGTACATTTTAAGCAAAAAAGGAGTGAAACCACATCAGGGTTTTGTTCCCCCTGTACTTTTTGCAGTGGAAAATACTATTTTTGCCTTGACTATTGATTTGAATTATTCAGACCATAGATAAATGTCAAACCTTCTTTTCTCACCATACTTCAATTTATCCATTATCACAGATAATCTTTGATATGAAAATTTGAACTGTTTACTTTTCTTAGCCTCTCCGTTTTTCTCTACTTCTATGTCCTTTGCAATCTTGCTCCTCCCAAAAGTTTGGTGCTTTTTTTCCTAATATTGTGGAGAAGTTCTTTTGGAGTTTTACTCCTCTTTTAAGGAGTAGATGATTAATTCTAAATAGTGGACACTTTCACGTTCTGAAATATTTATCTCTTATACTCCTAGAAGGGTAATTTATATGGTACTTATGGCTCCTTTGAAGGGAAAACTTTTTAATACTGTGAATACTTAATCTGTGGCTAAAAGCGACACTCTAAAACTTCTAGGAAAACAAGATAGCTTAAAACAGGCATCCCCAGACTTTTCACACAGGGGGCCAGTTCACTATGATCAAATTGCTTTAAAGGTGACTATGTCACGTATAACAGATACTTCAGTTTCTTGCTTTCTCGACATTGAAGATAATTATAACTTAGCAGGACTGGAAGGAAACTTTACCAAACTAGTAGACTTAGAAAATTAGCTCTTTTCCCCCAAGGTTTATATTCCAGTAGAAAAATTTGAGACATTTCTATATGAACTTTAAAAGAAAAATTAAATTTGTATGTTCATGGATAGTTCAATAGTATAAAGGTATATAAAATAAAAAGTGAGAGATTCCTCATCTACTCTAGAAATAACCCTTGATTTCTCTATAGAGTTACTAACATACAGTATGTGAGTATATATATTAATAGTTTTATATCTTGAATAATTTATGGATATGTCAGTAAATGTTAACTGTGTTTAATTTTCAAAAATAGTAGTGTATTATCCTATCCACCATTTGAAAAGTACTATGTTAATGTTTATTTTAACAGAATTAAAAACATAATTGTATAGAATTACAGGGGGAAAAAAAAACATAGAGATATTCTAGTTGAATATTTCATTCCCCAGATGAATCTGGTAAAGTTACTGACCCAAGACTACGTGAAATAATTAGTAAGAAAAGCAAGCCTAAAACTGAAGTGTCCAGACTTTTATAGCACACTACTCTGTAATTCTGATATATGGTATGAATTTGTGTAGGTAGCAAATCGCTTTCTTATTTTATCTTATATAGGTGAATATAACATACTGCCTTTTACTATTGACCTGTCACTGTTGTGCTGTGTTGTGCTTGGGAAACAAGGTGAATGACTAGTAGACAGTAGGAAGAATTTAAATTAAGGTTTAGGTAACTCAACCGAAAACCTGCCTTACTACATTATTGTGCTATTTAATGACAGATATTTAAAGGGCTGTACAAAAGCATGTTGTGGGCCAGACTTAGCCCATGGGCTACAGTTTGCCAACTTGATCTAGGAGAGTAAATCCTATAGTAGGATTATCAGAATGTCAGCCCTTTAGCTTCTAAGAATTACTTTATGAGATAAAAGGGAAGCTATAAATTCATGGGAAAAAGTAAAGAAGTGGCTATGGATCATTTTGAGAAAACCCGAGGATGCCACATTTCTTGAAATATAAAGCATAACTTTGTCTTCTTTTTGTAATGTTTAAATTTAGGTATGAAACCTATTCATGCTGCAGACAAACAGCTGCTTATAGTGGCAAATGCCCACATGCATTGGGACCCAGAGTATTCTGATGTGAAGCTCATCCAGACCATGATGTTTGTCTCAGAGGTTAAAAACATTCTGGAGAAAGCCTCTAGTAGGCCTGGCAGCCCAACTGCAGATCCTAATTCCATCCCGCTGGTGCTATGTGCAGATCTTAACTCATTGCCAGATTCAGGTATTTATAACATCATTTCCTCACTGCCTTCAATTTCACTTTTACTCTTGGTTCAGAGGCCAGCTAGCTCTTAAATTTTGAGTAGATAATTTCTCTTCTAAATTAGGGAATGTATCAGCAAGAATCTCATGGCTGGAACACAGGGTAATACAAGAGAGTTTAATAAAGAAGCTATTCCCAAAGGTGTGTTGGCTGGTTTAAGGGAAACAAAGCAATAAATGATGCAGTACTCTGCCACTAGGGGACTTAGTAGTTGATCTCTTTATCACCCCTATACTTAAAAGAAAAGTGGTGGGAGCTGTCATCAGAACTTAGAAAAAATACAGTTGTAGGAAAGGGCCATATAATAGGAGTGATGGCTTTGAATTGCATGAAGCAGTCAATCCCTGGCAAACCAACAAGAAGGGAGCCAGGGGGAATATATACTCTTACCTTACTCTGCTTCTGTCCTCTGATCTCCTGCCAGGCTGCCCACTGATCAAATCCAATAGAAGTTAGAGGAGGGAGGGATTTGTAGTTGATGCAATAAAGATTAGCTTCCTGAGGCAAAGAGTGTACTGGAGAAGGGCGATCTGAAGGGGCAGCCAGAAAGTACTCATTACAGGTAGCTCTCTGGTTTTTAATAATAATAGCAACTTTTAAGTGAATTCATTAAATGATATTTGGATGCTATTAGTAGGTACAGAAGAATGATAAAAATTCTCCTACGGTTTCATATTACTTCTTGAGCTCCACTAAACTACTTTATGTCTGAACTTACATCATTTTACTTTTTATAAAAATCATTTCTGTATTTTAGGTATCAAATGAAAACATTAAAAGTATTACTCTTTTGCTAATACCAAAGTATATGCTAAATTTTATGTATTATCACTACTAGACTATTTTAAATTATTTAAAGTAACAATAAATCTAACCTAAATGCTTACACTTGGAATATTAACACACAAAAAAAGTCACTGAACTTGAAAAACATCTTTTGCTTCTTAGCAAATAAGTGCTGAGATTATTGTTCATAAATGTTTGTCTTTAACCTCTAGCCTAATTGGCACTTCAACGACATGCTCCTTTCTTAAGTTGAATTGCTCTCAAGTGCAAGTTTTTCTCCTACTGTATTTGATTTGTTAAAGCCAGTTAGCTGTTATCTAGTAGCACAACATAGTGAACTGACTCTGGTGCCAGAATGTCATGCTTGGATCCTGATTCTGCTACTTATGAACTGTGCAATCTGTGACTGTTTCTCTCTCCCTCTCTCCCCCTCCTCCCTCCCTCCTTTCCTCCCTCCCTTCTTTCTTCCCTCCCTCTTCTCTCTCTCTCCCTCCCTCTCCTCTCTCTCTCCCTCCCTCTCCTCTCTCCCTCCCTCTCCTCTCTCTCTCTCCCTCCCTCTCCTCTCTCCCTCCCTCTTCGCCCATCCCCCTCTGAGACAGAGTTTCCTATTGTTGCCCAGGTTGGAGTGCAATGGTGTGGTCTCAGTTCACTGCAACCTCCACCTCCTGGGTTCAAGTGATTCTCCTGCCTCAGCCTCCCAAGCTGGGATTACAGGCGGCACCACCATTCCCGGCTAATTTTTGTATTTTTAGTGGTGACAGGGTTTCGCCATGTTGGCCAGGCTGGTCTCGAACTCCTGACCTCAGGCGACCCACCTGCCTTGACCTCTCAAAGTGTTGTGAGTTTACAGGTATGAGCCACTGCACCCAGCCTAGTTCCTCATTTTTAACAAGGAGATAATCATGTTATCTACTTTATAGAATTGTGTGTGAGATTTACATGGGTAAAGCACTTAGAACAGTGCCTGGCATGTGGTGAATACTAGAGAAATGATAGAACCTTCTGAGCTATTTACAATACTGATATTGTGCTCATCACATATTCATTACATCTTAGTATCAATCCTTATTACAAATAGATGACTCTAACAGTGTTCACTAATCATCATAAATGTTTTGATACTGTTTTCATGTTTGCTAATTTAGTGGAAGCAGTGCGCTTTTCTGAATGCTGTTCTTCTCTTCAGCCTTGCGTTTTTAGCCAAGTGATATACTTCTGGCATGTAATGTTCTCTATAGTGTCAGACTGAGAAAACTCACTCTAGCTCAAAATAAAGAATGATATTGTCTAGCTGACACTAGACATTGAAATGAAGATGTAAGATCTGTTTTTGTTGTAAATGACTTTTTATTAATATGCTCGACTTACATATTTGCAAAGTTGTTGATTGCATAGAATGGGGAAAGACTAAAGAGATAGTGGTTTGGAATAATTTTCCAAAAACATTTAGAGTTAAGATTTTCCTGGCAAGTGCCTTCCTGGGTCCTGGAAATCATTTTTAGCCTGAAGAACCACTAAGAAAACTAAGGATATTTTTGAGTGTTGCTGATATATTTTGTTCTGAAATAGGCAAACACCCTTTAATTCATTTGATTGAATCATATGAAATGGCTGGTATTTGATTTTTTAATTTTTAAACAACGACAAAAGGCAGTTTTTATGGCTCAACCTAGTAAAACGACTCTGAACCTGGTGGATTCACCTGATAACAAGACTTGACTGTGAAGCTTTGTGTAAGGTCTAAATGCTAAATGGAAGTGTTTCCTCTTTATTCTACTAGGTGTTGTGGAATACTTAAGCAATGGAGGAGTAGCTGACAACCATAAAGACTTCAAGGAACTAAGGTACAATGAGTGTCTTATGAACTTCAGCTGCAATGGAAAGAATGGAAGCTCAGAAGGGAGAATCACACATGGCTTCCAACTTAAGAGCGCCTATGAAAATAACTTGATGCCTTACACCAATTACACCTTTGATTTCAAAGTGAGTGGCAGCCTTTGGGCAGGTGTAAAAATTATTTCAGATACAATTATATAACAAGAGAGGTATAAATTCTTTATGATTAATTGTGTAATCTTCAGGAATTTTCAGATTCTTAAAATGTCTAGGCTAAGTATGCACTAAATATAAAAGTAGGTTTATTGGGTTTTGTGGCTATTGTTGTCTTAAATTATTTTTGCTCTCTCATTTGTTTAGATTTCAAATAATATTGATCACAGTAACTTCTAAAATGCTAACTAGGTACCAGGCACTGGTCAAAGCACTTTGATATATTAATATAGTTAACCCTTACCTATTCAAACCATTCCTACCTTTCAGCAGTAACTAGTCCCCTGGCCCCCCACAGAAAAGCACCGAGTATAGCAAAACTCACTTTGAATAATGTATATAGTATTTCCTGAATATTTTCTTTGTACCTTCCATTGATATCTTAGTATCTTTAAATTTTTCAGGTTTCTTTTGGGGATAGGGTTAGAGAAGGTTGTACTTGAGGTCTATTTTATATCTATGCATTTGTACTAATATATTCCCAGGCAGTGCAACACTCTAAAAGGAAAAATGTTTTTTGACAAATATGAAAAAAAATAGAAAGGCTGATTCTACAGGACCAGCTATTCTTTAGAAAGACAGATTGTGGTGGTTTTATATAATCTCTTTCCCAGTGCTAGTTTTCTGATCACTCAATCTACTTGTAGCTCTGCTATTGTACCTCTCTTTGACTTTCTGGCATTTCAGACATCTATAGTAGAATCTTATACTATCTGGAAAAATGCAAGTATTAGAAAGTGGTTTGGTATAAAAAGCCTAGAGAGAATTAATAAAATACCAAAGGAAATTTACAAAATGGCCTCTCTTGCATCTCCAATAACCTTTTTCTATTTTTAGTGTGTGTTAGCTCCTTTCCAAGAAACAAATAGTGGGAGGAAGAAAGGAAGTTCGTGTGTTGTTACTAATCAGCTTTCATGATCATGTCGTGAAGAAAAATTTCTTAGAAATTGAATCTAATTTAGTATTTTTGCTATTAGAAAAGATAATTCAATCCAGTGATAATTCATTTTGTTCTAGTCACTTGTAGGCAGTGATGTGCTGGTAAATATTTAATAATGAGCTTTTTGGGAAAAGCTCTGATTTGTGGTATTTGCCAATTTCTATAGTTTAAGTACTGCTACTGCAGCAGAATCCAGTCTCCCAACATGATACCACTGAAGGCAGAGTTGGGAAGAGGTGATAAGAAAACTAGTACTAGCTGACTCTAGCACATCATTGCTATTATGTAAGCTTAAAAGGAACACCTTTTAATGATGCATTGTTTACCATAGCTTAAATCCTATCCTTGTAAGTATAGTGATACGTGTCTGGCAGCCTAACCCAGAAAACCTGTAATAAAGTTCCCGAAAATAAGTGTTTAGTAATTCCATAACTATTATTGTTGTTTAGGTGTGTGTGTAGGTAAAAAGAAAAAAATTTTTTTCTATTTCACAGTCTTTTTTTTTTTTGAGATAGGATCTCAGTTTGCCACCCAGGCTGGAGTGCAGTGGCAGGATCTTGGCTAACTGCACTCTCAAACTCCTGTGCTCAAGACATCCTCCTACCTCTGCCTCCCAGGTTGCTGGGACTATAGGCACACACCACCATGCCCAGCTAATTTTTTGTATTTTTAGTGGAGACAGGGTTTGGCCATGTTGCCCATGCTGGTCTCGAACTCCTGGATTCAAGCCATCTGCCTGCCGTGACCTCCCAAAGTGTTGGCGATTACAGGTGTGAGCCACTGTGACCAGCCTAGACTTTGTTTTTTCGAGATAGAGTCTTGCCCTGTCATCCAGAGTGGCACAGTCATGACTTACTGCAGTTTCACTCTCCTGGGCTCAAGTGATCCTCCCACCTCAGCCTCCTGAGTAGCTGGGACTACAAGTGTGCACCACCATACCTGGCTAATTTTTTGTATTTTTGAGGGTTTTTTTTTTTTTTTTTTGGTAGAGACAGAGTTTCACCATGTTGTTCAGGCTGGTCTTGAACTCCTGGGCTCAAGCAATCCATCCACCTCGGTTTCCCAAAGTACTGGGATTATAGGTGTGAGCCACTGTGCTCAGCCTGGACTTTTTAAAGGCTTACTTTTTACTTGTCCTTAAAACAAAAATCAGAGAAACACAATTTGGGACATTAATCCACCTTCCTCAGTCATCTGAATTGGTTTAAAATTATTTATTGATGGTCCTTCAAAAGGTCTTACAAGTGTTAATAATTGAATCAAAAATCCCACTGAGCCATTTGCATTGTTCAAATAAGTACGGTTAAAGAACTAGAAATGCCTGGCTCAGAGTGTTTGATGTTTGGTTGTATAAGATAGGATCAGAGAGAAAGATAAAGGTATAAGTTGGTGGGAAAGAGGCATATATGGGAAGATCAATAGGCTGGCTGAATAAATGGATGGGTTGAGAGGATAGAATAGTGTCAGAAGGAAGGATAGCTAGAGACTAAACTAAGGACACACCTTGAGTAGAGAGAATTGAGCTCTTAGTCTAAGTAACAGAGAATTAACTTCAGTTTTATACATATATTTTACATAATTAATGCTATCCCAATATTGAAAGCGATCAGTAAAAAAGAATAGGTAACATCAAATATAAAATGCCATGTGATCAGCATTAAATACAGAACCAATTGTATTAGTGAGGGGCCGCTGTATCAGTGAGGTATGAAATTTTGTTTGCTTGGCTTAGCATTTGTTTACTTTCTTGGTCCTTGACCAAGATAGAAATGTAGAAAAGAGATATTTAGAGTTCAGATTCATTTAATTGCAAACTGATTTGGAATGAACTGAAGGGTAAACAATTCGAAGAATTACTCCTTTTTCAACTTTACTTTCAGACCAGGTAAGTTTAATAAACAGCTTATTCAAACCTACTGCTGCTGCTCCTCACCCCACCCTTATCCTCTAATCTGAAGGTGTGGCCCAATCATTTAATTAAAAAAAGAGGAAGGTCAGCTTTTATAGCAAATAGTAAACTTTTCTGTTACATTATGAAATTGATACTGTAATTTTCTGGCATTCTTTTAAAAAACAAAGAGCGTAATGGTAACTCAGTATTTTCATTGTGTTTTGACTTTTTTCTCAAATATAGTTCTATAGACTTACACAAATAGTAGTCCTTACTAATGTAAAGAGTGCATTTTCCCACATTAGTATTATACCTTTTAAAAAAGAACTGACTCAAAAGGTTAAAAATCATTAGTCTATAACCTCCTTTGTGTATACGATCAAAGTTGGGGATCCTTCTAATTTGTGCATATGTACAAATATGTTGGGTGAATTCACAGACATACCCTGGCTAAGGGTTTTGATAAGAGTTTTTATTCTGGGTATTTCAAACCAAGAAAATAGTTACAAGTGATACGTTCAATTAAAAACATCTTACTTCCTGGAGTGTTTAATATTTTTATCTTGGAGCCTACCTTTGCAAAGAACTCTGGCAGCCGATGTGTGTGATGGCAGTCTAATAAAGTTGTAAGATAAAGGAGGATTTACTTTGTTTTGTTTTGTTTAAACAGAGTCTCACTCTGTTGCCCAGGCGGGAGTGCGGTGGCGCATCTCAGTTCACTGCAACATCCACCTCCCAGGTTCAAGCGATTCTTGTGCCTTGGTCTCCCTAGGAACTGGGACTACAGGTGCACACTCCACACCCAGCTTATTTTTGTATTTTTAGTAGAGATAGAGTTTCACCACGTTGGCCAGGCTGGTAATGAACTCCTGGCCTCAAGTGACCCTCCTGTCTCGGCCTCCCAAAGTGCTGGGATTATAGGCATGAGCCACTGTGCCTGCCCTTACAGGAGGTTTTCTTCACCGTAAGTAATTGAGATTATTTCATTTGTTTTATTTTAGAGTTGCAGCAAAAAGTTGTCTCATAACTTTTTGAAAAATGGTTTCTTAGGGAGAAATAAAACTATCCTGATCCTTATTAACTCATTTTCTAAAGTATCACTGTAAAACTAGGCATTATAACCAAAATGAAAAGATAATGCCTTATGATCCTATCATTTTTTGACTATTTGAACTTGGAGTCCCCTGGACTCTAGTAAATTCCTTAATTTGTGGCAAAGTAAGGTTGGATATGGGCTGCTTTTTTTTTTTTTTTAGGAGACAAGAGTCTTGTTGTCACGTAGGCTGGAAAGCAGTGGCACAGTTATAAGTCAATGTAGCCTCAAACTTCTGGCCTCAAGTGAGCCTCCTGCCTCAGCTTCCCAAGTAGCTTGGACTATAGGGGCATGCCACCATGCCTAGCCAATTTTTAATATTTCTTTAAAAACCTGGGTCTCTTTATGTTTACCACACTGTTCTCAAACTCCTGGGCTTTAAGCCATCCTCCCACCTCAACCTTCCAAATGGTTAGGATTAAAGGCTTGAGAAACTGTACCTGAATCTTCTCCCTTAGCAAAGGAACAGTTTTGGTATTTTGATATTGGTCAAATAAAAATCAATCAACAAACTGAAATAATTGTGTCTAAAATCTCACAACATAAAAATCTGTTTTCATTAAAAATTTTTATTTTTTAAGTAGCCCATTTCATTATAATACTATTTAAAGTATTGGCTGGAAATCATCAATAGTATTTGTAAATAGGTTTTTACAGGTGTGGAAATATTTCTCCCTGCATGGGCTCAGGGTCTCTTGATACGAATAGGATCTAGATAGGAAGATACTTGATTTTGCTACCATGCATACACAACCTGGGATAATAATAGCCCTCTGGTTTTGAAACTTACTGATGAGACAAATCAAATTATCTAGCTCTGAGAGATAAAACTGCTATGTAAGACTTCCTGCTGAATGATTTTTAATCAGTTATCTTTATGCTGCAAGGAAATTCAGAATTTACACATATTTGTGAAAATGAGTATTTTAAACTTAGAATAGTTAACTGTGTAATGTTTTGTATATATGTAGCAAATCTGGGAAAGCTGAACTAGGATTAGCAAATCCATAAACATGGTTACTACAGGTTCAGTCAGGTGTGTTTAGATATCTTGATATGCAAATAATTAAAGATAATGCTATTAACTTTGTATGTGCTTTTATAAATATTCTTCTTTACTTCTAGCCAATAGGATTAGTACAGGTTCCATTGTATTTATACTGATATATTAGATATCACTAAACCAAGCAGGCCAATTCTAAAGATGACTAGACATAATTTAATGGGTTTAGCTTCTCAAATTATCACTTACGCAGGAATGGAAGGATTTATAATTCCAATAGGGTGTTGTGTTTCCCTATTGAGCCTTTATTTCATGTAATACCCCTTGAAGATTTGAGCCTTATTTGACCCACTATCAAGACAACAGGTGCCAGAAGAAAGGGTATTCAGTGTTTTGGTTTTTATAAATAATGGATTATTGTTTATATATTTTGAATTTTTCTTTTTTCCTACCCCAATCTCTTTCCAGGGCGTGATTGACTACATTTTCTATTCCAAGACTCATATGAACGTGCTTGGTGTCCTGGGGCCTTTAGATCCTCAATGGCTGGTTGAGAACAACATCACTGGGTGTCCACACCCTCACATCCCTTCAGACCACTTCTCACTGTTAACACAACTTGAACTCCACCCTCCACTCCTGCCTCTTGTCAATGGTGTTCACTTGCCTAATCGGAGGTAGTGGAGTACTGCCCCGCCAAGACGGGGATCTGTTGCTATGGACCTGTACAGTTGTAAATCAAAGTATGTGGAGTGAAGTATGGCCATCCTTAAGCTGCTTCTTCAGGTTTCTTTCATTATGTGTTTGCTGTAAGACTTTGTACATTTTTGTGCATATTGGTATCATTTGGCAGTAGGGCTGGAACCAGAGTATTACTCTCTTTCCAAAATTTTAATTTAACATGTTTTTAAATTGGACCTTCTTTATATTATATTAAGAGCCAGCATTCAGAATTGATAAATTACCAATTTGAGGCCCAACAACAGTGTATTTGTTTTTCCAAAACAAATACTTTCTTTTGGATGGTTTCAGTGACCCAACCATTTTTATAAAGGCAATTTTTTAAAAACTATAAATATAAGGTTTTACACTGACTGAAGATATGCCTTCCAGGGAAAACCTTCTTGAATTTTTTCTTTATAACAAACCGATTTTTGGATTCGCAAGTCATTTGCACATTAACAGAGCACTTAAATTTGCTTACTCTCTACATAACTATGATATAGCTTCTACGCATTATAAGACAATTTTGAAAAATTAAAGATGGTTGCACAGTATGCTTTCATAAGTATGTAACACCATGTGACAATTTGTTGCCAAATGCTGGTTGGTTGGGGTTTTTTTAAGGAATCACTTTTTTTTTTTGTCCCCTCTATTAGTTATAACCTTATTAGAAGTATTAATTCTAAGCCTGTCTCTCAAGTTTATTTATAGAGAAAGAGTAAATATTCTATATTGCCACACATCTTGAAAATAGAATGCAGTACATTTAGGATGCCCACAGAATGAATTTTTTCTTACTCCACTTCTACCTTCTTTCTGTCTGGTTGTACTGGGAAAACAGATGTGATATGACCTATATCATTTTTGCCATTATAGTCAGACGTTAAAAAGAAGAACAAAATCTGCTGAATAAAAAGGCCTTGATCAAAGTTTCAGATGGTGAAAACCATACAGATACTTTATGTGTTTCCAATGTAGGTTATGTGGCTGTTGGTTTTTTGAGATGACAGTGCAAAGGATTTGGGGGAGAGAGAACAAATTTGGGGCAGTAGATGAAAGCCTTGGGTCATTTTCCAGACTCTAGCTGCCAAATGACCATCATATGCTTTTAATCTTTGTTTCTGTTGTCTGTCAGGGTTGAATTAAGGAGCTACTGGTTTATTCCCAACTGTTGATGCCTTTAGATATGTTGGAATCTTTTTTTTTGCCTAGGAGGAGCCAGTTGAAAATCTGTGACTCAAGAGGCAGTAAACAGAATACTGTTTTCTGGGGAAAAATTGGTTGGCTGCTTGATGTTAATTATGGCACAGTAACAGGAAAAGGTTGTGTCTGTGTTTTTAAGTTTTTCTTTATTCTGCTTTTTTGCTGCTATAAGAGTTTTCTGAAATTTATATTTTAAACTTTTCATGCACTTTACTGTTTCTAGTCTCAAAATGTGATATTTTTAATAAACAAGAAATTTTCCATTATGTGAATGAAATTTTAAAAGAAAATAGCCTATATTTGTGTCTCACTAATTTATAAAGTACAGGTCAAATTTAAATTATTTAATTAGTTTTAAATATACACAATTTGTCTCCTCTTTCAAACTTATCTTAGGCTGTTTTATTAGTCTTAAATGATGCATTTACTTTGGTCATTTTATGCTAATTTCTTCCATAGTAAATTAATCAGGCTATATAAGATAATATTTCCCCAGAAGGGTAATTTTAGTGGGATGAGGGTGGTGGGATGATGTAATATCATACATGGGCTTGCATCAGAAGGGTTCTGTAAAGCCTAAACTCCCTTTTAAAAGTGCCTAGTGATAGAGGCGTTGTCATCTATTATAATTGGAATGTCGTCGTAGTTCAGTGAATTTTGATGTAAATATTCTTTTTAAAATGTTAAAGTACCAGAATAAACAAAAAGAAATGACCCTTAAGATGACAGATTTTCCTCAACATGCAGGTTCCCCTTCTTATATACCTCAAGTATCCAACATCTAGCCATGCAAATTGATTACATGAAGCATAGTACTGGAAAGTAGAATAGCATGAAAAACTTAATTTTGTGGACATTACCTTTTTTTGTAATCAGCTACTGTATGTTTTATTTTAGATGTTTTGTTTGGGTGGATTTTCCCACTCTGGAGGTATATGCACTAACAAAACATTTTCCTCCTTTCATATGCGCATGTTAATTAGCAATGTGAGCAATATTTCCTACCATACTTCACTCCCAGTATTTTTTGAGATGTTTGTATAAAATGGAATTTAAAGTTCACTTATGATTGTATATGAACCACAGAGGAGCCCATTTATTAATAAAAAAACCTTTTTTAATAGTTAAATGTAGAGGGAAAAAATAAAAAAAAATTGGGAAACATTGTAAACAGCTTAAGTTTATTTTGTGTATGATTGAGGCACTCTGTTGCAGGAAGGTGTGTAATTGGGTTCTCTCTGCTTCAAATGCGCTCTTTCAAACCATTCATTATCCTGTGTATTTTTAATGTGGTTTTAGTAAATGTTGGTAGTAGCTCTGTTGAAGTAGGTAATTGTATTATGTTTTGGGTGGTACACTCTTGGGGCATGGTAACCCAAATTTCATGTGCACGGTTTCCCTTTAGCCCACTGCCCAAATTTCACACACCCTTCACCCTTTGTTCCCTTTGTAAAAGGAGTGGTATCTGTTTTGAGCTGCCAATTCAGATGATCAGAAATGCTGCTTTCCTCAGCATTGTCTTGTTAAAACGCATGCCATTTGGAACTTTGACAGTGAGAAGCCAAAAGGAAGAGGTGAATGACATATATGTGTGTGTGTGTATATATATATATATATATATACACTGAATATATATATATATATATACATTGAATATATATATATTCAATGAAAGTAAAATATATATGCGCATATACTTTCTAGTTCTCAGAATAATTTAATAAGCTTTATGACATTGGGCTGCTGCATATTTTAATCAGAAGATAAAAGAAAATCTGGGCATTTTTAGAATGTGATACATGTTTTTTTAAAAACTTAAATATTATTTCAATGTTTGTCTAAGAACTGGAATGTTGTTTAAATTTACTAAAACAGTGTTGTTTGAGGAAGAGAAAACTGTACTGTTTGCCATTATTACAGTCATACAAGTGCATGTCAAGTCACCCACTCTCTCAGGCATCAGTATCCGCCTCATAGCTTTACACATTTTGATGGGGAATATTGCAGCATCCTCAGGACTGACATCTGGGAAAGGCTCAGATCCACCTACTGCTCCTTGCTTGTTGATTTTGTTTTAAAATATTGTGCCTGGTGTCAACTTTTAAGCAACAGCACTGCCTAAAAGCAAGCAGAGAACAGAATCCCAGCACCATTCTATAGGCAACTTTTTAGAATTCAGATATAGTAAATCTGTTCCAGATTTATGATGTTTTATGTAAAAAAAAATTTTGTATAATAACATAGCTGAATATTTTTGTTTCGTTTCTTTGATGTAAGGCGTGTGAACGTTCGTTTGAATATCACATGTTGAAGTCAGGTATGGCACAATGGGTTCTGAGACCAGCTTTTCCTCCCCTCCCATTTGCCTTGTTCCAAGCTCTTTTTTTCAAATTACTTTTCTGATATTCATAGGCAAATATTTAATTTTACTAATTAGCATCCTGTGTGAATGTATTAAAGAAGCCACTGTGTTTTAGTGTAGTTGGCAAAAATATAAAAGCTCTGTTTTTTATTTGCCCCTATTTTTTTGATGTCTAAAAGTTATATATTAAATCACAGAGAAGCAAGGGAGATATCTAAGGCTCATATCACTTGATTCTATGGTAGATTATATTAGAATTGAGGATGTGGCACATTAAAACTGTAACATGGGCAAATATAGTGTTCTATTTTAAAATTCTGTCTAAGTTTACATTGTTAAGTGGGGGGAAATTTAAGTTTATATTTGCATTTCCAAGCATTTCTAAAACTCACTAATACCATCTATACTTTTAGTATGAAACAGCAGAGTGTAGAAAGCACAAGGAAGAATAGGCTAAATATATTCTTTGAAGACCCAGAGACATATAACCATATCCTTATGTCATTCCTAATACATGGCTAGATTTTCTAACGATAAAAGAATTGATTGTGTCCCAATGCGTATTTATTTGCTTCTAAGCGTTTTTTATTCTGAGTTTGAGATATTTTAATAGCTTTGCAAAATATGCTGACTGATCAGTTTTTGCTACAATAATGGTTTTTATAGGAAGCGAAGGCTTTATGGCACATTTTCAAAATAGCACTCATACATACTTAAATTTTGACAGAAATGTGAATTCTCACATTGGTAAGATACTCTTTTTCCAACCTGCCCTATCCTTTGAAAAAGGTCACTTTTCTAATGTGTAGCAGATTCGTTTACGCCTGTCCCTTTGAATTGTATCATGTTTGAAGAACTGTCTGAATTGTAGGTAGACAGCTTCGGAAAGCCAGAAATTTAAAGTTTTGAATTTGTAGACAGAGGAGAACTTCTATGCTATGGTTGCTTTGGGTGATTCTAATTTTGTAATAGCATCATGATCACCAAAATTAAATTCTAACATTTTAGTCCATCTTTAATCTGGCTTATTTACCAAAGTTCTAATCCGTTTAAGAACAGAATGCCAAGAGCATCTCTCATTTTGTAGAATGATGTGCTCATCTTTATAAGTATCACCTAGAAGTTTGAGGGTAAAAACAAAGAAGCAGCAGTCCTGTATCTATACTACAGGATGTCTTGAACGAGATTCACAGAAAGAAATAAAAAAGCAGTTCTTTCCAGGAAGGTGGTAAGGAAGAGTATGCTTATTTCTTGTTTTAACCAAATACATTCTTTATGTAAATGTCTCTATTAAACCACAAGTCCTACACCAAGAAATAGGTGATACCAGGACAATACCAAGCTTTATTAACCTAGTTGGCAATTTCTTGTGGCTTAAGTTTGGTTAGACTTGGGTTATTTTTGGAACCAAAGGAAAATAAGCATGCTGAGTTCTTCATTCAACAGACATGACATTGAAGTAATGGAATATTTTTTAAGCAAAATAGCTTTCACTTTCAGAGCATATGAAATAAAGACATTCGTGCTTATTAAATGTTAAATTTTTATGGTACATTGTATAAACTGAGTAGCATTGAACTGCATTTAGAAGTATGTCATCAGAAATAAATCACATTATGAAAAGGATATACAAATGCCAAGTGATATGACTCTTTTGGCATGGTAGCATGGTCCATTCAACTTTCAGAATCTTTCAGAGGGTATACATTGGTGTCTATTACTAGCTATTTTTTTTTTAGAACCGATAATTTCCCAGTTGTATGTCTGTCACTTTTAACTCTAAAGCAAAAGAATCATGGTAACCCTCTCAGAAGTGGTCCTTTCTTGCTCATTTCAGTTTCATGCTAATTTCAGATTACTGATGTATTTTCTTTCAAGCTATCAATTGTTATATGTACCTCATTTATTTAATTTGTAGTTATCTGAAGTCACAAAATTGGTTCAGCATTGATGCCAAACAATGGCTTTGCTTCTTACCAAACAGACTTAGTATCCTGCTGCTTGTTTTAATCTTGATGCAGTAAGTAATGCAGTATCTGGGTTTGTATTTACTTAAAAACTGTACTGTCCTTTCTCTGTGCTTAACTTGCTGAAAATATATTCCCTTACCTGTGAAATTCCCGAGCGGTGCTCTGCCAACTTCTCACGGGGAGGGATTTGAATGGCTGTGTTACTGCACACTGGATCTGGAATTGGTTGGGGTTATGAGTGGCAAATTTCTTAAACACCAGCAGCACTGAGAAGTGCACTATGGGCATTCGTACAGTTGTCCAAATGCAAACAATTTTTTCATCTTGAAGAAGCTGAGATACAGAATTCAATAGAAATACTTGGAATATTTTGAGAAAGTTGAATGTTTCATCTTTGGCTTTGTTGTCTCTGGAGTGGGGAAATATGGAGGGCTTTTTTATTATTATTAAGAGAGCATTTATGTGCTTTTCTCTCTGTAAGGGCCAGGGTGTTGGTCAAGTTCACCATGGATTAATTTATATCTTCTATTGTGATTTTTTTTCAATTATATAACAAGTGCCAACTAATTGTCCATGCGACAATCTACTTTTCCACTCAATTTATCATTTGAGTAGGGAAAGGTTCATTTATTTTCATTACTTGGCATTAAGTTAAAGAATTCATTATTTTGCATACGTTTGAGTCGTTTTGTGGCCTATAAAGTGTTTTTGTAACTATCTAATTATAATGATTGGAAAGCAAAGCACATGACTGTAAAACCAAGCAAGGTGTTTTACTAACTTTTTCCCTGAATACTTGGTAGTTTCTACTGATACTATTCCAAAACAAATTCTGCTGTTTTAGGTTGTATATTTACTTTGCTTTTGTTCTAAGAAAAAGCCAAGCACTAAATCAACTTGTTACTGTGTTTAAGTAATGAGTTAAAAAGCATTTTTTTTTAAATTAGAATATTTAATGAAGTGCCATGTACTTGTAGCTTGCTAGTGTTTAATGTTTAATAGACTGGTTCTGTAGGTGTTTTAACCATTTAACACTCTCTGCCATCCCTGGAGAAAGTGGTTCTTCTCTTACTGAACACATTCTCTCTGACAAAATCACCAGCTGCTTTATTTTTCTATTTATTACAGTTAAACAGTTGATGAGGTCTGAATCTTGACCAAAACTGCTCAGCTGAGATGTTTTTCACAATAGACACTGTACAAAGTGTGCGTGCAAAAGGACACAGTTGGTAGTATTTTTTCATTAATGTGAACATTGACTAAAAAAAGCAGTCCTGCCTTTTAAATCTTGTGGCAGCTCAGAAGGGAGGTGCTTAAGAACCTTAACTACTATGTCAGATAACAAAATATTTTTTTTCCATTTTGGAGATTGGTTACTGCTCACACATGATGTATAGGGCTAAATATATGCTTGTTTCCTTGCACCTGTGTACTTCCCCTCTGTCCCTCCCTTTCTTTCCCCTGTAGGCAATAAATGGCCATTTTGCAACTGTATATCTTTGTCTTGGTTTTTGACTCTTTATTTGGGCAGTATAAAGTTTCTGCTTTTAGGTTCGTATGTCTCTTCTAAAATGAAGTAGGGAGCCAAGATATTAGGGAAAATATGTAGTTACAAATATATGTTGCATTTTTTTTTCTAAGTACATTGTTTAAAATAAATTCTGAAGCTAGTTGTATGACTTGCTTTGTCTGAAGAAACCAGAGCAAAGGGACATATGTACTTCTGAGTGGAACTTTAAGGGCCAGTCTTTAATTTGCCACATTTTCTTGCCTGTGTGATCATAGAAACGTATGTTGAGATGAAACCTCTCATTCCAGATCTTTAAGTGATGAACAGGACTCCCCTGCTATCCTTTGGACATGTAAGAAACAACTGCTAAATCTCAGTGTCTTTATGCAATGAAGGTTTGTTATTAGGGCTTAATGTAGCCCAATCTGACAGACAACCACCAGACAAATCTGCTGAGTTATCAGTATTGAAGAA